AGTAGGTATGCAGGATGTGTTCGACTGAATCCTAAGTTTCATCTGTGTGCACAATTATTCAACGCTTATGTCGTTGCCAGTGAACTTACATTGATCATAGTGTGATAAATAACGAATCGTCCAAAAATATGGAGACAATTAACACCTACAGAGGAATCTCGATATTTTTCTTTCAGATTCCGGTTCCTACTCTATGATCACATTGAATTCAGCGGACTGTATACCTCATCGCCGTGGTGCAGCAACGAGATTTGTCATATTACAATATCTTGCACTCAATTGTGTTCTACATTTACTATATCACACGCTTGCCATTATAATGTTTTCAATAATATTTAAGGTGGAATCCTCCCACAAAGAGTCCTATTCTATAGAAAGATGTGTTTCGGAAGATCACGTCATTAACGCTTGAGCTATTCGGATAGTGTAAAAAGTGTATGGCTTATTTTTTCACCGATGGCTAGTATTTTTTGATGCTAATCGTATTAAAACAACTGGAATATTTGTAAGTAATCGATAATGTCAGAGTACGCAGAAATTTCATCTACCTTCCATCTTTGAGAGGATCTCCTCTACGGTTAGTACGATAGTGACCCCAGAACACAGCTAGTGGATTATAATCTAGACGCTGTTCGTTTGATATAGGGTTCAGTAATAATGTGGATGTCCGAGATGTTTTCAAAACCGTGACTCAAGGAATTTACATCCACATTACAGATAGCCATACTATTGTCGCCGTATGCCGACTAATATATTTTATTAGTCTTTTGGCAGAATACTGTTTGCTGTAAAGCTGTAGTTCGAATGGAATAATAGGAATACAATACCCTTCTCAAACAACGGGAAAATTGGATAACCTCAACGAAACTTTCCATTTTGGCACAAAATTCGTGAAAATTTTATTTCGTGACAAAGTAAAAGAAGAAACTTTTGAAGAACCGTTAATATTTAAAGAGGTGATTCCAAACCATACGTTGTGAGCGTAGAGAAGAAGCGAGTTCGTCCGAGTGGATGAAAGAAAAAGTAAGAATGCTAGTCTTTTGTGTTTTTTAGTCCACACGACTTTATGGTGACGGGCAATGTAACTGAGATGTAAAAATGGTTAAACGATAAAGCTCTTGACATTGTTCAATCCCTGAGGGATGCATCATGCATTTGATCTCAGTAAGTACCGTTGGAGAGGACTGAATGGACATCTGGCCTTTCCAATGACTCGTGGTAGCCTGCCGTTGTATCGATACAGTTTTGCTATTCTACCAGATAGATCCTGCATCAATTTGCCTTTCCCGGAGGGTTAGGAGCTCAGTGTGCCTGGCGTGCGGGGGATCGATCCAATGAGTATTGCAGGGAACCTTCTACCACAGCACTACATGCGCCGCGTTTTTCCAGATATTATACCGCAAACAAATTCTTCAGTGTTTTTGTATAAATGCCAATAACCCTACAATGAATAGTAAGGAGGAATGAGCAGAGACCACACGTGATCTCGCCTCGTACCCTCGCATCTACTTGTGATGTGGGGTGGTGCACTCATAAAGCATATGCGACTCTAATCGGCTGTTCTCCCCAGTGGAAGGCACGTGAAAACGGTGGCTTTTTCGAGAAGATGTTCATCATGTGATTACCACATAGGTTTCCATTTTTCCGTATACGTTATTGAAGAGTTTGGCGTAGTAAGTTGCACATCAGTACACCCTCTCAGGCTCTAAATAAGACGGAACTGTCGAAACGTCAGCTACTATTGTGTTGCATGTGTTATTTGTATGGAAGTAAATGTGTGCTCTATAACAACTTCGCGATTGCCGAAAAAAAAACCATGCAACGCAACAGTAATGATGATCGCATAACAATCTCAGCATCGTTGTGGTGGCTCTATTTCTCATAATACCGTGCCGTGGAAATTACAGTAAGCAGAAAATAAAAAGTTAGCTTTGTGATTTCATATACAGCATCAGCTTGACTGGGTTAAATGCCGATTTGGGCTCTTCAGATCAATCCCTTTGACGGGTGATTGCTGACGGCAGTGATCGATAGAACTAGCTGAGAGACAGGCGAAGCGAAAGAATGGCATGATGTGGTGGTGAACGCGTTAGCCCCGGAATGGGTAATAGAGCTTTCGTTGGCCACCGAAGACACCTTCAGTGCGGAGTTTTGCATATAACTCAGCATCGTTTGGTTGTATTTCGCACTAAGAAACTGGTTTCGGCACTTTCCACACTGAGAGCTCTCGTTCACGGCTTCGGGTGATGTAGCAAGCGGTGAAAGAAAATTAAATTTTGTTTGAGCAGTTCCTAAGTGGAACCGGATTGGACGAACATAACAACGAAGTGNCCTATAAGGCCAAAATAATCCGTTTAGACGTCGATAATTCTTCTTTTCTTGAGGTCGTTCGTCACAGCAGATCTCACTTAGTGGCCTCACAAAGCACGAAATGAGATTCATCGAAATACGAAAATTAGATGGCAAGGCTATAGTCAGTTGTCGAAAAAAAATTATGTCACAAAATGTCTGTAGCGTCGGCTTTGCCAAACGTCCACTGGTTTTCATTCTGTATGCCTCCTGCGAGATCTTATCACCATACGTACTGAGATACTTGGACGGTCCGTCTTATTGAGCTATGCAGACCCTAGCACATTTGCAATTCATTTCTTTTCCTCGCAGTCGTCGTCCACGGTGATTGTTTTATTCGAGCATGGTGGTGCGTGCGAGTCTCCTAGGTCTGTAAAGTAACTGCAACTGTTGGTAGAGCTGATTAACTATGGCTACGAGCACGTCCGTCCAACGTGTATACTAGGGGACATCTATATTTTTGTGGCGTCCACTCTACAGATGTTTTCGTCCATCTGTCGTCTGTCCTCACTATGTGACCGGCTCATCTATGTTTCGTTATCAATGTATATTCTCCTGGACCACGAAGATGTGACAGATTTCGAAGATTAGGGCTTCGCATTTCTGGCTAAATAATGAAAACGCAGGTTGTATTTCAGTTTCATTTCACTGTTGTTCTATTACTATTGTGATTTTCAGAGCTACGGGCATTTTTGCTGTATGGACCGCTTTGTTTGTAAAAGTCAGATAAATGGTTTATAATTCTTATCTTGTGTTGCTATCACAACATAGATTACTAAGCCTGTGATGTCCGTTGTTTTCACTTTTTTTGAGATATGCTCCTGATTAAAGTAATACACTTCATTAGCACCGGCGTAGTTTTTACTTCTAGAATTCTTGCACCAGACGATACAAGAATGGCGCATGTAGAACGAGCAGTTACATGCTTGATGCAGTAGGGGACGAGTCGTTTCGAATGTTACGTTCGATAGGGGAAAGTGTTTGGAATAAGGACAACTTCTTATTATCGAAATCTGTGGCTGTCTGATGTGGGAGCGAACAGTGAGTGGTGACTGGTTGAATCATCTTTACGTCAGTATTAATATGTATTGATATTATAGCAGAGACGTGCACTTACGCGCGTTTTCATGCATGTATTTATGTGCGAAATATGTGCGCCTCTTTGTTGAACAGAACCTAATTGTCGTAAAGTCGTAAAAGCGACAATTTTTCTTAAAGCATTATTTGCTTTTCTTGTTAAAGGTTGTTCTTTGGTTGTAGTTGTCAAGGTGCTTGAAAAAGTGTTAGTCAAAAAACGAGGTGCCGGCTGAGAGCGATGAATGAGGGAGTGTTGCGTGGCCTAACTCGTTTAATCTGGCCAACGTAACTTGTACAATGGGTGGTAACGAAAGTTTAGTACGGAAGCAGTAGCTCCGAACATAATCTGTACTGTGGAAATATCAGCATGTTCTGCTGGAAAAAATCCTACTTGTTTAAACCGTTCCTGTTCGAAATACGGACGACGACGCAAAGAAATGAAGGAAATAAGTGTCATGGGATGTACAAAATCAAAAGTTTACCTCGATCGCTCTAGGTAGAATCCCTCGGATCCACATCGTGCGCCGAAATAGGAGACAAAAAGTGCACTCGCATTGCGATCAAGTTGTCAGGTTCCTAGAGTGCGCAAGTGTACATGCTAAAATCAATGTTTATGGTTCCGAATGTTTGATGGAATAGAAAGATGGAAACTCGGCAAATTATTCTTCTAAGTACACATGGGACACAAAAGCAAAACTGTAATGATTTTCAAGTGGTAGCGATGATCTTGGCGCAAGCTTTGAAACTTACTTACTTTGATACTTGGACGACCCGTCCTCACTGGTTTTCCGGGTCCTAGCTTATTCTCCACTTTTCGGAGGTTTGCTAGTTTAGTCATTGTGTTTTCCTGCAGTCCCTAGGTCAGCCTTGAAAAACTCTGCCCCAGGTCGTCAACATCACTGGCAATCGCTGCACTTTGTGGATCAGAGGGAGATTTGCCACTTTAAGACTAGTTTCATGTCAGGACAGTGGTGGATCGTGGTGTTTCATTACTCTTAGCTCGGCTTCCTCAGTTAAACATAGGACTTTTTTTCAGCTTGGGAGACCCTGCTGGAGCTTTAATCCCTCCACTGTATATCGCATCCCAACACCTAGGAACACCTCCTACCCACGATGATGTGGCAAACCGTTGAGAGGGATCTTGAAACAGTTTAGGTAACCTTCAAAGACCAACAATACGTAGGAATGAAGATTACCTTAATATCACACTGGTTTTTCATTTATTTCAAATGTTACATGACTTGTCATCACATATATTTTGTGTATTTGGCAGTTTTTTGATTTGATTCTTTTTACTTGAATTCACCGTACCTGATGGTCTTTGAGTGTTTTGTGTTTTGCCTTGGCTGCTGTTTGAGGATTATACATCCTCGTTATGAATGTCGTAGAATGCTGTTTGAGTCGATTCTATTTACAACGTTGGAGATAACCGAGCTAGGACGTTGCCACGTAGCCCAGAGGAAAACGTAATCACGAGTGACGTAGCGCCTTATCTCAGATTAATGCATTGGTTTAAGTAGGGTTTATTTTACACAGTTTGTGAACCACAAACTGGTGTACTAACCACAACAGTTATGGATGAAAATTATTCGCGACGACAATCTCAAGCGCTCCATGATCAGCCTCAGCCATTGGCGAAATTAGCCAATAATCCGAAGAATGGTAGAAAAATTGCAGAACCAATTTACGAAAAAAAAACATGAAGTCAATGTTCAATTTTAGAAAGCGAGAAGAGAGAAGATGTCGCTGACGACAACAAGAAGAAACCGGTAAAAAAAGTTAGATGGGCGGACCAATTGAATTCCCGCAGCTCGGTGAGTAACTACAAGGGATCAAACTTAACGCAAAAGATTTCCTTCAATCGAATTCAAAATAGGGCACCGGATTTCTCTGAAATTTACATATATCTGCTAAAAGCATACAAGACTTCTTGTTACATCCCAATGAGGTTCTGACTTTCTAGAGAGCACTTCCGATTTTTTCTCGCTTTTTTTTCGCTGCACTAGTTGGTGTTGGTTTTGCTATTGTAATCGGAATGGCATGTCGGAAGCTGGGCAATGATCAAATATTTTACGAGAACATTGAGGCTGATGAGAAGGAGGGAAGTGTGGACGGACCCGCTGGGCGGCGACGATCGCAGAGCGCCCACAATCAACGATTGGCAAAAATAGCCAATATAGCGAAAAATGGTAGGTGAATTGAACAAGTAGTTCACAACAAAGCCAACACTAAATTAAATCAAACGTTTTACTTGAGCAAAAGAAAAGGAAGCAGGTGTCGCAGAAGGAGAAATGAGAGAGCGAGGGAGAAGAAGTAGACGGTTCCAACCATTGAAGTCACTCAGTTCGATGATTAATAATTGTAAAAAAAAATTCAAATAAATAAATGTCGTAAGTAAAAGGTTTATTACATCAGTAACATGTTATTAAGATATAAGTTAGAAATATACACTTTTTCGAAACAATTTTCGAAGTTCCGTACACAACGGTGAAAGCGCATTCTAACCACGATTACTCCTGCTTGCCATGTACTACAACTACCCTCATAGAAGTTTCCTCTAGAAGTCGCACAATGTTAGATATATATTTTTGCAGTCAAACTTTTAGAATATCGGAGACTTAAGTAGAAAAAAAGGCAAAGGAAAAGCCTCGGTTGATGCAGCGGGTAACACGTCAGCCCCAGGAAAGCAATTGAGAGTTCGAAGCGCACCTTAGGTTCTAACTTTTCCTCATATCTCAGCACCCTTGTGACTATAGCTTGCACAATACCTTGACATGTTAAAAAAAACAGGCAATAAATAAAAGTTTGAACATTGCGTAATAAGAGTTGAGAAGGTCTTGTTTTCCTAAGAGTGTAATTTGCCGACTGATAAATGAACTCAACAGGGACGCATAGGGTTTCAATATACCACACGTACCTTCCTAGAGGTTCTCTCGGTGACATGACATTTTTTCCTAATGTTTCTAACTTCTGGACTTTACTGTGTAAGTGCGAGTAAATCCACTGTGGAATTCAGACAGGTGGGCGCACTCGTCAGAAAGTTTCGCGTAGAATACTCTTCGCTACCATATGCATTAAGAAGACCTATCCATGGGCCAGTCCTTCTCCAGTGAAAAATCCGTGTTCGACAGGTTATTGACTGACTACAAAAAGTCTGGTAAAAAAGCCCTGTGCTGGAAAAAAAAGGCCAGAAAAATTGTATGCATTGAAATCGAGATGTGTGATTCAAAACGTGCAACGGCGTGCATATAGATATCAATGCGTATTATCGTGGAAGAGTTTCAAATACTATGAATCATTTGCCGAATCATAAAAATTTGAGAGAAGCTGAAGTACTTCAGGAAATAGAAAATGAAGTTTCTCAGACACGTTAATTTAGCAATTCAAAACTTAGAATGGAAACGGTGAGTTAAAATTTTGAAGAAAATCTTTAAACTAGGTTAATTTTATGGAACTACTCTTAAAACTGCGTGAAAATCGTGAAAACATTTCACCCCTCCTCCCTCATCCTCCATTTTTCATGTCGGAATAACTTTTTATAGATCATATAACACTAAATATTAGCCAAGCAGAACGAGAGCTTGCCGACTTTGATAAAACCTGTGGAAAGATTGGTCTTCGAGTAAATATCACAAAGAACGGTATTGACCAGGGACGGATTAGTTTCGTATGCCGTATTCACGCTCAACGGAACGAATATCTTCGAATGCTCCAGTTATGTCAATCTAGGTCTGGAAATCAACATGTTCAACGACTTAGCTCCAGAGCCCAGCACAAGGAAACGAGCGGTTTGGTGAACTTTCAAGACCATCGAGGATGTAGTGAAGAGAACAAAGAGCACCCGACTCCGCGCCCACCTTTCCGACTCAACGGTACTTCCTGCCCTGACGTATGCGTCAGAAACCTGGTCGCTGCGTAAGCAGGATGAATGATCACTCAGCGTTATCGAGCGTGCCGTCGAAAGGACGATGCTAGGAGTAACCCATGTCACGCAAGTAGAGGATGGGATTCGAAGCTCCTATCTGCGTCAACGATCAAAAATCAAAGATGCCGTTCTATGCGCCAGACAGTCGAAGATAAATGGGGTAGTCACGTAATGCATATGGATGACAAGCGATGGACAAGAGCCGTTAGTGACTGGATTTCTTGGTATGTTAAACGCAATGCTGGAAAAACACCTACTCAATGGTCAAAGTTCTTCACGAAAAGCCTAGAAGAGGGATATAATGCTTAGTAAGTCCCTAAAGCGAGCAGAATCTACTGGGCTACTCTTGCATGTGACAGGGAAAAATGAAAGATTTACTAGCGCCCGCTAGAGTCACTCGATGATCAACGGAACTACGGGTGTTACAGGTGATACTCTACCCATTACCACATTTACTGTGTGCTTTCCAGCACTTCTCGCACATGATTCGTTTTCCTTGCACTCATTGTCCACAATGGCCTTCGAATACTTCGCATGCTGTTTCAGATGGTGCTTGAGCATTTCCGTCTAATTTACGTATGTTGTAGAATGTTGTTCGAGACTATTCGGCCAGCAATTTTGGAGATAGTTGAGCTAAGGCGTTCTTACGTGGGTTGAAGGAGAGCGTTAGGCCGGAGATAGAATTAGCGCCTTTGATTAATGATGGGCAGCATTCCTAAATACTGCGCTATCTCCGCCTTAAAGTCATAGTTAATAGTTAAAAATAAAAAAAAGCACACAAATAATACAGTGTATGTGGTAAGCAGGAAACTTGACCAAATGCACAGAGTTGGTGATGACGTCGAAGAATTTACTCACCAATCGAAACCTATACAGAGCAAAAAAAACTAAAGATGGTGCGAGATTGTGAAAAGTTTGCAACTGTTCTGTTACTAGCAGTAAATAGATGGATCACTAACAACATCGAAAACATGAAATTCAGATTATACTGAACAAATGATGAGATTAATGTAGGAGTCCAATGCGAACCTTAGAAACATTCGTCGGACTATGTACAGCAGAAATCGCTGGATATAATCCGAATGGCGGAATGTCTGTGAATGCAATTCAAAGACATACCGCATTTGCACCTCAAACGAACTATGTGGCGATCGCAATCTAAGACTAATCGTATCCGCTCTCCAACCTGAACACTTAACTTTTCTGATATGTTGGCAAATTCGTATAGAACAAGTCAGAAAATTTAAATTCGAGTAATCGGAAGACTAACAAGCAGTAGCGTCACTGTGACCTGCTCAATCCTCAGTATAATGCATTAAGTTAAGAATATTATGGATGAGATAACGATTCAGTCGTAAACCAGTCAAACCGCAAATTGTAGTAGGTAGAAAATAAAAAAGTTAACATAGTGAAATCACAGTTCAGCATCCATAAATTCACTTCTACCGCTCTAGTTTGCCGCAACTTCACGAACGGATGTGCTCCTAGTGCTTGTAGAAATCAACGGTATCGTTACGAGAAGTGTTACGCAGACGGAAAGAGCGTTTTGCACCTGAATGTCAATAGAATAGTAAATCAAGGCCAGAAGTAGCCGCAATTTCACAAGGTGCTTGGTCGTAAGACGAAAACCCTGTCAATGATTGGCGAGTGTTTGTGGTGGAGACTAATGAAGATCTCATAACGGTTAACTTGGTATCTCGAAGATAAAAGATCTTATCTGAAAATCCCTCATTCATCACCATTTCAATCCTATTACACCTCACAGTGGTCGTCATGATATGCAACACCATGAGATGAGAAAGCCGGTGTGTAGTATTCAAACATAGGGTTATAAAATAATTCACTGTTGATTAGGGCATCTATGCGCCTTGTTGAGCGAAATTAATTTCGCTTACAACTCTCTCAGCTCTTGGGACCTAGAGCATCGTTGAAAACAACACCGTTTCTAAGTAAATAAGGAAATCCCATGACACATAGGCAAAAAAATCTCTCTTAGTTGGACGCTTGGACAGCCTCTCCTCAGTGGTTGTGACGTGCCTAATATAATCACCATTTTTCGGAGTTTTGCTGGTTTAATCACTGTGTTTACCTGGAGTTCTGAGGTCAGTCTGGCCAAATGCTGGTCCAACTCTCCACCACCACAGGCAGGCGTCGTCCTTGTGGATCAAGGAGTGATTTGTCCCTATATGACTCGTATGATAGTAGGACGGTGGTGTAACCTGGTGTTGGTTTACTCTTAGCTGGGTTTCCTGATGAAAACACCAGAGATTCCTTCTCAGCTTGGGAGACGCTGCGGGAACCAATTTCCGGCTGTGGTTCATAGTCCGACACTCAGGAACACATCCCAGCAACGATGAGACGGTAAACCGTTGAGAACAAGCGAAAAATCTACTGTCGCACAATATAGGAGAAAGGAATTCCCAAAGATTGCATCGACTATTGATTTGGGGTGGTGCAGTCGTCAACCATATAGGACTCCAATCAGTCGGTCTTCTGTAAGGGAAATGAAAATGGTTGGTTTTTGAAAAGCTGTTGACCATGTGAGTCCGACATAGATTTTTTTTTTCTTTCTTTGTGCGTTTCTGAGATGTTTCGCTGAGTAAATTGCATATCAATGTACCCTCCCAGGCTATGAAGAAGGCGGTGCTGCCGAAACGTCAACTACTGTTGTATTGCGTCGTTTTCTTTTTCATCAATCGCGTGGTTGTTATACAGCATACATTTGCTTCTAAACAAGAACACACAATACAGCAGTAGCTGACGTTTCGGCACTATCGCTTTCTTCAGAACTCGGAAGGGTATACTGACATACAATTTACTATGTTAAACGCTTCAATAACACTTACAAAAAGATGAAAGTTCTATGGCAATTACATGATCAAGAGATTCTCGAAAAAACCCCCGTTTTTTACGTGAATACCATTAAAGTAGATTAGAACAGCCGATTATTGTCACATATGGTAAATGGCTGCACTATCCCACATCAAAAATTGATGAGAAGATACTGGGCCAGGTCTCGTGTGAGCTCTGGGCATTCCTCCTTGCTATTCATTATAGTATTCCTGGCATTTGTCCAAAAAGCCTCAAGAAGTTTGCGCGTTGGTGTCTTAGTCTCCTGTGGTAGGATGGTGAATTTTACATCAAAATCGTCTCCCCTTTCATTTTACATCCTCTACGTGTCTAGTGGGGAACTTTGCCTTGCGTTTCGTTTGCCATTTAGGTGTTCTTTTACACGGTTACGTAAAGCTCTGCCCATTTCTCCAATATATTCATTTGCTCAAGTATTGCAAGAGAGCAGGCATATCGTACCTGAACTCATGCAATCGCTGTTCCTGCCGTGAGGGCAAATTACGCAGTTTGGCCTTTCAAACAGATGGTCATACAGGAGGTTACGAACTAACTGCCGACGTAGAGTGTCCGGTGGTATTCCAACTATCGCTATCAATTCCTCTTGACATAGCCTTCTTAAGCATTGTTTTATAGCTACGCTTACTTCATCGCTTATAAAAGGCAACATAAACGGGATTTTCTTTTGGTCAAGTGTTCCGTTTTGGTGCGTCGCTCTCCTTCTGAACTCCTCTCGTGTGTTTATTATTTTGTATCCATTAGAGATATCTATTTGCCGAGCCAAGCTGTGCAACTCCCCTTTCCGTTTCCTCTTCATGTACCAGCCTCTTTGTGGGTGAAGAATGGGGTCCTTATTACTTGGCTTTCACAACCACATTGTCATGTGACCGCTATTTGATAAGCTAATTTGATGGTTGAGAAATGGGAGCCAATTTTCATTCGGTTCCTCTCGGGTAAATTTAATGTACTCAGGTTGCTCATTCACTAATTCGAAGTATTTGTCCAAATCCTCCTGAGCACAGAACATGACAAATCAGCCATCTATGTATCTGCAGCAGAATAGCCGCCGGGAATCGATAACGGAGGCTTCTATTTTAGACATGAACACAATGGCGAGAATTGGTACCGACCACTGTACCGTCGCCATCCCTCTAATTTGCGCGTAATAATTTCCAAACTATCTGAAAGTCGAGCAATTTAGGCTCTTTTTTAAGAGAGCCATAGTCCACTCTACTGTTCTTTTCGTCCATTTGTCGTTTCTTCTTCTCGTTATGCGACCGGTTCTTCTATATTTCGCCGTCGATGTATAGTCTCCTGGATCTCGAAGATGTGACAGATTTCGAAGGACAGAGCTTCGCATTCCGGCTAGATATTGAGAGTGACGGTTATATTTCAAACGACATCGCTCAAGCGCTCTGTGAGTAATGCGGAGTATTCTTGGCGTGGTTGAACTATCAGCCCACGTCTCTGCAGCATAACAGAGTGCTAGGAGTAGTGCTGAATTGAAAACGTGAGCGCGGATTTCTAGGCCATTCTGTTGGTCGGTGGATTCTTACAGAGGCCCGAATGCGGTCCAAGTTGCTCTCCTTCTTCTGTCTAGTTCCTCCTTCATGTTGTCTTCCATGTTCATTGATCACCCAAGGTATACTTACGAGGTGGTCTCTGCAATCAGTTAACCATCAAGTTCATTTTTTTCGCCTTCAGACTAGGGGTTTTTTATTAAATGGGTCTTCTTGAAATTTATGCGTAGTCCGATCTTTTTTCCCGCTTCGTTGAGCTCGTTGATCATCGTCTCTGCTTTGCTGGCACTTCTTGAGAAGATAACAATGTCGTCGCCGAAACGAAGGCTTGATAGGAATATTCCATCAATACGTATTCCTTTCTCATCCCAATCAAGTGACTTCATTATCTACTGCAGCGCGCCGATGAACAGCTTTGGCGATATTGTGTTGCCCTGTCTAACTCCTTTTCCAATGGGTATGGTAAGAAGTCGATGAAAAAGCTGTATTTTCGTACCTCAGCTTCTATAACAGTCAGATAAAGTTCTTATGTAGGACGGGTCCACTCCTGGGTTGACGAGCACTGATAGGATTGCATTCATTTCGATACTGTCAAACGCTTTTTCATAGTCGACAAAGGCAGAACTAGAGCGAGATAGTAGTTCCGACAAGCTTAGATGACGCTGGACACAATTTGGATGTGATCGATGCAACAAAATTTTCGCCGAAATGAAATCCTGCTTGGTTCACTGGTTGCACCTCATTCAATGTCCTTGATAAGCGCGAGACCTGAAGAGCTTCGAGCTTCTTCATGAAGAGCTTGTAGAGGACACTAAACAAGCATATCGAACGATAGTTACAAAAATTCCTTCGGTCACCTTACTTGGGCAGCATGACCGTACGCAACGTCTTCCACTGGTCTGGGAATTTTTCCTTTCGGTGGTAAATAGCTTTCATATGGTTTGAGAGAAGTACGTGGAAATTGTGGTTTCCAGTTCTAAGAAGTCGGCGATGATATTATCGGGTACTGGAGCTCTGCCTCTTTTCATGCTTTCCATCGCAACTCGAGCCTCCGATGAAAGAATTCCAGGTGTTTTTCCAGCGGGGATATTAGGGCACGGGACGGGGATTGTAGAACGGAAAAGGTTGGCGCAGAACGTTTCCATTATTAATTCCATATCATATCGGGAAGTTTTCACGATCCTATCTTTGTTCATCAGGACTGACAGCGGAACATTATAGTCCCACAAGTCCCGGCGACATTTTATCAGACTGCTTCTTTTCTCTGCTTCTTACAATAGTTTCTCTTCCGTATGAAAATGTGGGTCTTTCTGCGAAGCTCTTCTGCAGCTGGCATTTATTGCTAGCCATGCTATAAGTGTTGCAGTAAGATCAAGCTCCAGTTTCCTTTTCCTTTCAAGCGACACCTTAGTAGTAGTGGAGATGCGTTCCGATCTTCTTTCTTGGGGTTTTGAGGTGAATTTGGCACAACTTTTCAGTTTTTCGAAAAGCAGCTCGTAGTTTTCAGTTGGATATTCTATAATTTGCCAATCACGTTGGAAAAAGATTTCGCTCAGAATGTTGTCGTCGTATATAGGTAAACTATTTCTTCGTGGTCGATGACATGAATTCATTTCCAGGTTGCTGCTGAATCGAATTTTCGAGCGAAGAAGGCGGTGGTCGGAACCAGTACAGAATGACGGAACTACCGTTGTGTCAACTAGACATCACCTTCTGTTTATCAGAATATGGTCGATCTCCGCAAGAGTAGTGCCTTCAGAAGACTCCCATGTCTAAAGCGATGGCTTTATTTCTT